GACGCCGACGTAAAATAAACCAGACTGACAGGACGACTTGTGAGTAGTGAGCTGGCGTCGTCTGAGGAAATATACCGGAGTTCTCTAGGAGGGAATGAGGAGAATCACGAAAAAATCTGTGAGGATAATCGGGGTCCCGTGTGATACTTGAAACGGAAACCTCCTGATACAAGAGAGAAGCGTTACCGCTTGAGCCACTTTGCCCGGTATGTTAAAAGTAACGTACGGTGTCGGTAACGGATTCAGTCCTGCTCCGTGTAAACACGCTTATTTTGCAAATATAATTTTATTGCTGTTCATAAAGTTCCATTCCGTTAAACAAGTGCAAACCAGTTGCTAATTTGCTCGGTAGATGGTTAGCTCATATGAACTTTTATGTGGTACTGTTTTCAACAATATCATGTTTAACTTGTAGCAACAAGCGCTGCAAGCTTCGCCTCCGCATTTAAACACGAATCACCTTTCTTAACTACGTAACAATTAATAACGAATTAGTAGCAGGAAATATCCAGTCATACCTTAATTCTTAAACAGCTTTACTTACACTTTTGCACAACTTCTTTGGATTAATGTCAACAAGAAGATCTGCAGATATTAATTTTCATGCAACAAAACGCTATAGAAGAAGAGGACTTAAACTGTGCCCTGTGCCAAGAGCCCTGAATGTAGCCAAGCAAATGCTTTCCTAGTGCGGTGAGTATTCAACATACACGTATATGAACTCTGTAGACTGCATCCTGTGGTGTATACAGATATAGCCATGCTACACGTTCCGATCATCAGGCCTTAAATGAAACACACTGCATGCAATATGGATCCGCATTGTTAACAGATTGCTGTGCTGTAGCAAATACTCATATATCTTGGGAATACATTCACAATATTTAAAGAAATAAAAAATGACAAAAAAAAAATGAATACAAGGATGACATAAAACATAATCATAAAAATTGATATTTATAATTTCAAGCTAGAAGGGGGCTGTTGCATTAGTCCTTGCTATGTTGTCGTGTAGTTTATAAATACAATTTTGTGGCATGCGATCTGTTGGCTAGTTGTTGCGTTTCTCCTGGTTATCCAAGTCCTCTGTGATAGAGGTCATGAGTATGTGTACTTAAATGTTTTAGAGCAGATCTGAGCGTAGCCCTATTAAATTTATGTAGTTGCATGAACTAATAAGTGTGTGGTTGTGGCTTTTATAGGTTGAGTAATGGTCACGTGGTATGTGTGGGTGGGGGAGAGGGAGGGTTACGTATGTGGGTAAGTTTTAATTATGACATCAAAAATGGGGTTATGCTTCATAGTATATGTGTCATTCAACTGTATTGATTTCTTAGTCAGGCTGTATATTTTGAAACGTTCGACAGTGTTTAGTGTGTGGCCTTTTTTTCTCGATTTTCATAGTGTGGTCTATCGTGTTGTATGTATGTCCAGTATCTAGGATGTGTTGCGCAAATTTCGAGTTGCATCTGTTAGTTCTTATATCTTCAATGTGTTCTTTAAAGCGGGCAACTTTTACATATCATGGCCCAAATACTAGGACCATACTAGGACCAACTATTCCGGAACACTAATCTTAAAACAGCCCACAAAACTAATAATACAATGAAACATCTAAAACCAAAAAACCAAATAACCGATATATACGGCAAGAGCGGGGTATACCAAATAAAATGCATAGCACAGAGAGGACGTACATTTAAAGCCCGCTTTAAAGAACACATTCAAAATATAAGAACTAACAGATGCAATTCGAAATTTGCACAACACATCCTAGATACTGGACATACATGCAACATGATAGACCAGACTATGAAAATCCTACACATAGAGAAAAATGGCCACAAGCCAAACACTCTCGAACGTTTCGATATGGTATATCATATTAATCAATAACGCAAGTTCTCAAAGCGTATATACTGTAGTAACAAACTTCGATAAGCCCATACAAACATGAATATAACACTGTCCTGTAAGCAGTAACCTAGAGTTACCTTACTTAGGCGTTTTCAGCATATATTACATGAAGATATTCAATAGCAGAGAGAGAGAGAGAGAGAGCGCCCTTTCCGGGATGCAGGAATAGTTTTTATTTAAATTAATTTTGTGTGACTGAAATCAATACAGTGTTCTAGACCATACATCACCCCGCACCCACCCAATCGGCATGTCCTCCAGTGGAAAGCGCCCTACCGGTTGGGGAACAGCGTGGTGGAGTATCCTAACCTAACTTGAAGTTATGTAGTGTATAATCATATATACCGGTTCCTTAAAACCATAATTTTGAACCCTGTCATTTACTCCACGCAACTGACCAAGCTACTGCACTGGCTAAGCTACGGTGCTGTCAAAGAGGATATCACGCTGTATCGGTTCACACAGTTAGCGCTGCGTGATTAGGCCATTACTGCAGGGGGACGGGAACTTCAGTTCACTGGTGTACATAGCAGAGACAAACATACATACATACATACATACATACATACATGTGACTACAGTTTTACGTTTACTTTACTCTACGGTATCAGATTATACTTCACAGTGTCAAATGGCAGAGACTGGCGAATGAGATGTAAAGAGTTGCAAGGAAGCGGTGGGGACTATTAGAGGTATTGTTCTGACATTCGTCCGGGACTGAAGAAAACCATGAAACCCCTCAGTCACGGTAGCTAGGTGTCCCGGTCGATATCCAAACCGAACTCAAGACACAAATATGGAGCACTACCGCTATACTAACCTGCTCGACATAAAAGTGCCACAGTGTACAGCGTAAGTACTTCCATTTGTTCAACATCCTCACTTCTACAGATCAGATGAAGCATTGCTGCCTTCGCTAACAATAATGTAACGCGGCCATAGGTTTAATCTTTTAAGTGTTCTTAGTTTGCTTTCAGTAATATTCCTTTCCTTTACTAATACTACAGTAGCCTTCTGAATAACATATCCTTTCTCCCGTCATCTCAACAACGAGTTTCCACAAATAATATGCGCAGTACAGAATGGTCAGAAGAAACACACACAGCCTCAAAGTAGAGTTGCAGAAGCGCGCATATTAGCGTCACCGTGGCTGCATGGTGATTTCCACATTACTTCACATCGGGATGGTTCACCAAATTTCATCGACACACTTTCAGCCTGGGTAAAATGGAATAACGACATCAGAGGCCTTACATTAGTAATACTTTGTTTTTTTATTTTCGCCTGACGGCCAATTTCAAAACCTCAAAACACGTACGGGCCGCAAGCGAAGTGAAATTAATTACAGGTATGTTTCTTTTTTTAAACGAAATTTTACATTAAGCTTTAAGCGATAAAATTGTTACTGTTAATGCAAAGAAAGATATTAATATAATGCTTAGGATTGAGTGTTTATTAAGAAGGGCGGAAGAGCGACAACGCGAAGCTTACCACAGTTTCTTTCCCACACGCTCCTCATGTCTGGGCGCATGTGACAAATACAGACTCGGAAACACCTTCCCAGCCCTTTATTGCCGAGTAGATTTCCTGATTTACTCCTGAAATTTTTAATTTCTTGATCGAACTGTTCACAAATATATGTGATTCTGGGAAGGCTTCATTCGTTATGCAGACACTAAGAGTGGAAACTTATAGCAGTCAAACATAAAAGCCGAGGAATCGAACAGGTCGACATGTATTACACAGGTCCTTACCACAGTGCAAATCTATAGTCTCCGTTCAAAATTCGGCTGAAACATTTTCAACAGTAACCTCAAATTGCATTAAAGTAAGTTCACTGCAGCTTCATAGCTGCGTACATCCTGGAAACGGGAGTTGGATTTTTGTTGAATTTCTTCTTCGTATTTCTAACGATCAGTGGACTTTTCCGTTCTCAGAATTCAGAGGCGAGCCACACTGTCTGATCGCAGTTAAAGTTCCGGCAGTCGAAGCTTCTCATCTAACGCTGCTATTTCACCAAATCGCTACTTACAGCTTTGCGTTCAGTTCACTGTGTTGAGTGATGTCAGTGCAAACCGCAAAGTAGTACAGCCACTCGTGATCATAAAGCGGATGGGAGGGTTTCCCCTGCATTTCCAGAACTAATTCCATTTCCGACTTCACGACACACACGCGATCCAGCACCTGACCTCGGCCCACGCAAAGAATGTCCGTACAGCAGAGAACACCTTCGTCCCCAGAGAATTTCTAAAATTGGGGGCGATTCCCTTTAACCTTAAGGAACTGAAGAATTTTGTAAGAGTGCATTCCGTCCGTGTTTATCTTACGGTCAGACAAACTCCTGTTAAGATGTGCTGTTTACTGCATACAGTGTGTACATGTGTACACTTATGTGGTGTGTTTAGAGCCACACACCACTTAGCGTGTGCAGTCAGTCATAAAACAGTGTGTACATGTGTACACGTATGTGGTGTGTTTAGAGCCACACACCACTTAGCGTGTGCAGTCAGTCATAAAACAGTGCGTACATGTGTACACGTATGTGGTGTGTTTAGAACCACACACCACTTAGCATGTGCAGTCAGTCATAAAACAGTGTGTACATGTGTACACGTATGTAGTGTGTTTAAAGCCACAAACCACATAGCGTGTGGAGTCAGTCATAAAACACAAGAACGATTTTCAGCATAAGACTGCATGACGGTAAGCCTGAAATAAATTAACAAATCATGAAACCAGTGTTAACATCTTTTCATAAAAGTCGTTATTTCTGATACGCAATCTTGTTACAATTAGCGAAATTTGCCATCAAGTTCATCCAATTTTCTAACGATTAAATAATCTTATAGCCCAATTTCTTTCGGCCTTACGTTTGCCATATTCATGGACAACAAACATTAAAGGGAAATTTGCATAATTTTATAAAATATTTTCAAACATATGAATCAGTAAAATTGATTTGTTGTAAATCATTAGAACGTGTAAATTTAATAATATGATAAAGGCATTGGCGGGCAATGGTAGGAGCTTTTAATGCTGTCTTATCCATGTAATGCCGAAAGTTTTATTATATTACATTTCAGGATCCTGTTGCATTGGGGCACTACTTTAAATCAGGATTCTGAAGATCGACGACCTACTGGCCTGCTGTAGAATTTATTTTCATTTTTCGAGACGCGTGCTGCTGTCCGGATCAAGCATGAACATTACGGGATCGGTTCCGCACAACCAGTTCACTTCACATGAACAATTTCAAATACATTAATTGACGCATCTGCACACACGTTCATACGGTGTGTGTGTCAGCCGAAGTGCAGAAGCTGACCATCTAAGAATGTTTCATATCCGCGAGTGAATACAGCATGCCCTTCGGAAACGACAGCAGGCTACGGAAGTAGCCAGACGCGCCACACCTGCGTCTTGCTTTGCTTACTCTTCGATTCCGAATATGGAGGCAGAAGACGCAGCCTTACGGCACACAAGGCATTCTCTTCACAGTCGCCACTGTCAGAACCCAGAACTTCACCTCTGACGTCTCTTCTCATTCCCGGAATTCTACGTGACAGCAGGGACAATGCAGCGGTTACCACGAGTATATGCACCACTCCTTTCCACATCAAAATGCTCTACGTTCTGGCTACACGATGTATACGCGTGTCTTGTCATACTCAGAATAAACAGCGGTTAGTTCGTTAAACAGCATTAAAGACTTCTCTTTGTAATTGACATGCATTTTATTTCTGCAAGGTAGAACAGAATTTAAGCATTTTATTTAGAAGAAAATCATGCTTAAAGTGGTTACAGAGATCAAATCACCACTTGACTATAATCAGCATCTTAACAAATCGAAACAACGGAGCACGCAAATTTAAGAGACGATGCCGAAATATGACAGCAATTATTTCGCTGCTTCTGCCTTGGAAACCACACATCTCGCGTGATTGATACGTGTATAAATGCCTACGTAAGATTCGTTTAAGATTAACCAATATACTGTGGCGTGCCGCCAAAAAGACGTCCATTGATAGGCAACGGCTGTGATAAGAATGTATACTTCAGTGGAAACGCAATACCAGCAGACCGTTGCATATGAATCGCCCAAACAACAAATGCGTTTCCCCGGAAATGAAAGGATATCCATGGAAAAAAATACTACCAGCGGATAAAACGGAACCCTTGAACACGATGTGTATTAGTCAGTCCGAGTGCATGTTATAAAAGTCCAGCTTCGACGAGACCAGTCAGTTCTTAGTGTAGCTCCGACTAGAGCAGAAGGAAGCCCAAGACACTTCACCGAGATCAGCGGTGCAAGGAACTGTGGTAGTGAAGTGACAGTGAACAACTGTACTTGCGAGTGTAAAAGAATTTGTCCAATAAACGTCTTAGCAAAATCTGAGACCCGCGTGAATTTACTTGTCGCGTTACATAGGCAACAGGCGACAATATATACATTTTCATTATTTTAATAACTAATTTCATATATACTACTGCAGAATAGCAATAATACTTTGAAATATTTTCACTTTTATGCAGTTACAAGTCGGATTCGAATTGAAATAACGATTAAAATGAAAGCATAACCTTTATTTAATTACACTCTGCTTATGGTTTTTGCAGCTTTGAATAATTTTATACGTATTTTTCACCACGTGATAGTCATGTGACCGAAGAATGTTCTAGAATGTATTATATCATAACAAATATGTCTGCATGTCGCTATACAAAAATAATTTATATCTTTTTTCAAACAGGATAAAATATTATAAAATTCTGAGAAGTGATTTGCCTCTGGCGTCTCAGATCCGTAGAAAAATTATCATATTTACACGAAACAGTTGCTTAAAACTTGCCAAGGCCACCTCGAACAATGAATGTCTCTCGATACTGCTACCGGTATAAAAATTGAGTAGAACGCTTTTACGAAAACATACAAAAGCAGCAATACAAATAGACCATAGCATAATGCCTTTATTGCCTCACAGCGTGGGGCTGTGGTTTCAATTTTCCTAATGCAAGAGAAAAGTGTTAAAGTGATTTTAAAGCAAATGAGTCTGTATAACAGCTCGCTTCAATTCAATTCAATTTCAAGCAATACTACGTTGTGAAGATAAGATCGCTGCGTCAGGGTACTGTAATTACGTACATCTACTCAGACGATCTGTTCTGGAAGCAATTTCATTTCAAACGGCGTCAGCACGAAGGATTGATGTTGAATTCGCACGCATCTTTTCTGCTACATGTTACGAGTTCCATCTGCAGTAGTCCAAACACCAAAACCCGATTCTGCTTTGGCGACGTTTTAACAACATACGCCGAAGTACGCCTAGCAGCAGCCTTGTAGCAGACGTTACAATACTAAGGCAGTTGGACACTGCTCGCTGTCCAGAGCAAGGCTTCACATATAAGGTTCCGCAAGAGAATTTTACTACAATATAAAAATTAAAATTTAAATATAATTATTATACAAATATTATATTTCTGGACATTATCCATCGTATTCTCTTTATTTAAACACCGTCTTGTTTATTTTTCAAAACAAGTTTCGGAGATTGGATTCTGTCTCTGTCTTCAGGTAAAACGTACTCAGTTGGTCCAAATCGCTAGATCTGTACCAGCAAAAAGATGGGGTATACAAGCCAAGCACAGCACAACCCATCTGCGCGAGCTAAGAAAACATTAAATTGTTAAAAACTCTATGCGTATGAGGCCTCGCACCAGAGAACTATGACGATAAAATTCATCGCCGGAGAGAAGCGTTACTCCTTATCGTGCCAACATAAGAAAAACAAATTTTCCTACTCAATCTACAACAGACGGAGCTGTAGTTTTTACTTCTGCTGTGATAACGGGACTTCAGATGGGAGAGATGTCCAAGCTGGGTCTACTGATCGGACGCTCTACCAGACATGTGGGCGGGTTCCTTGTATTTCCTGTATGTGGTGTTTGGTTCAATCTGGACCTTCGCTTCATTCCAGCATATTTTGTAGCCTTATTTGTATGCAGGACGATGGATAATGTACAAAAACATAATATGTGTACTAATGTACCATTGTCACAAACTTTTAGATCTTATTACTATTATAAACCTCACTTAAAAACAATTTTTATTTTGGAGCACCTTTAGATTATAAATGCCAATTTCTAAGGAAGAAATTAAGTGCGTCTTTGCCACAGAAGGAAAAGCTTTATCAAGATTTGTAACACGTCAGCTAATTCGCTCCGCCAGCGCATATTTGCACGAAATTGGATTCTCGAATTACGCAGCATCAAAAACAAAACAAAGAAACAGATTAAATGCGGCGCCAGATTTGGGAATTCAACTATCCAAAATGTAAAGCCAAAACACAAACAGATTTTGTGGAAGAAAACACACACAATTCGAATTGAAAGCTGCAAATAGCTGCATATTAGTTTTCAAGCTTCATTTTCGGTATACACGAAATGTGAGTTTAGTTTCTAAATGTGAGTAATTGAATAACACGCTGGTCTCATATCCTTGTTTAATATTTATTTATTAGATTCCTTACTTATCAGATGTTTAGTTTTTTAGCTTCAAATACAATATAAAAATTTTTATGAGCGGTCCCGTAAAAAGGTTAACTGTGAAAGGGTTCCGTGACGAAACTAAACTGGGAAATACTGGTCTAAGGTACCGTGTTTCGAAAGCTGGCTCTATGTTAGTCGTTAGTATTTTATTATTGCCAGTGGGGTGGGACTAAGTCCCTTGTACTGTGGCCACTTCTGGCCTATTGTACCAGCCCCAGATGATAGGTGAGGGTGACAGCGGAGCAATTGGTGGAATGAAGATTGGCAGGGGAAACCGAAGTACTCGAAGAAAACCTGCCATGCGCCACTTTGTCCACCACAAATCCCACTTGACCAGACCCCGGGATCGACCCCGGGCCGCCGCGGTGGGAAGCCAGCGACTAACCGCTTGAGCTATGGCGCGGCCTTAATCGTTAGTTTACTATCTAACATTAACAAGTACCGCGTTCGATCCCAACCGTCACCACTAATCTTAAAACGACTAACAAGAAAGAATGCAAGACTGTTAGAACTGTGGCATCCAAACAATGGCTATGACCTGTTAAATTCGCTATCGAAGCTCTGCAAGGGAATCTAGGATCTGGGGTTGGTACGTCTGGTCTCTCGCATAACCCCCATGGTTATAAGTCGCACGGAATAATGTCCGGGGATTTAGGGGGCCAAGGAGTGGGCCCTGATCCTCCAACCCGAGTCTTTTGTACTTGAGACGCCATATTCCTTTTATAGCGATGGAAGCGTCACTCGCGGCTGGTATGCTACAATTAATGTAGCCAACGAAAATTTTGTGGAGTTCTGTGCTGTTTTCAAGTTTTCTTTTTATTGCTAGTGGGGTGGGACTAAGTCCCTTGTACCGCGGCCACTTCTGGCCTATTGTACAAGCCCCAGATGATGTGTGAAGGTGATTGTGGAGCAATTGGTGGAATGAAGGCTGGCAGGGGAAACCGAAGTACTCGGAGAAAACCTGGCCCAGCGCCACTTTGTCCACCAGAAATCAAATTTGACCAGACCTAGGATCGAACCCGGGCCGCCGCGGTGGGAAGACAGCGACTAACCCCTTGAGCTATGGCGCGGCCTTGTTTTCAAGTAGCTTCATGTTGTGTCTGTAACTCTTCAGAAAATGTATTCATTTCATATTATACACATAATTTATAATGGCCTTGTATTGGAATAATAAACCAACCATTATCATAAACCTTTAAGAAAAAGAAGATTAAGTTATTCCTGTAACAAGCCGTGGAGACTCATAGGGTTGTGAGACGTCGAGACTCCCATATTTTCTAGACAATCGGCTCACAGATGGCGGTAAGCTTGTCAGCCTCACTAGCCGGCCGATCTTTATCCTCCATGAATATTGCTGGTACTCATTTCTGTTAGAGGCTGAGTCGACTCCAGGGCTATAGTGCGTCTGGAAGGATTAGGTCAACTGAAAAAAAAATGCACTTCATCGGGACTGGAACCGGCGATCGTCGGGCTTGTAGCATAGCGCCTCAACCAACTATGCTGCCGAACCTCAGCACAACATTTTCAAGAACGACAATTAATAGAAATATTTTCTGACATAAATAAATCTTATTTGTGGATACATGTGACAGTCTATCACAAGGCGGGGTTCATATTATTTTGTTTTACTTGTACAGCATTCTCGACAGAATTCCACATACATACCGTATGTCCAAAAAGTATCCGGCTTTATTTTTTTCCTCTGTAAGTAATGACCAAAGGGGTGGGGAAACTGAGCGTAGTGGTAGAAGGGACTTTCATGCGCATGCGTCATTTTTTGCTGACTCGCAACACCGCCGGATGCGTCTGTGGCTGCCAGATAGCGCAGTGGTATAACACGTGTTCGTCGCATTCTTGTTTCGCTCAAGATGACAGAACGCATGGAGCAGCGATACTGCATTACGTTTTGTCAGAAACTTGGGGATACCCAAGCGGAAACAATTCGCAAAATTCGGCAGGCCTTCGGCGAAGATGCAAGGGGGGTTACTCAAATTAAAGAGTGGTTCAACCGCTTTAAACATGGTCGTATGTCGGCGGACAGTGAGCAGCGTTCCGGGAGACCGTCAACGAGCCGAAATGCTGATGTCATTGAAGAAGTGCGGACACTGATCATGGAGAACCGTCGTTTGGCCATCCGTGAAGTTGCTGATGAGGTTGGGATCAGCAGAGGTTCCGCAAACACAATTTTAACTGAGGATTTGGGCATGCGAAGAGGGGCGGCAAAATGTGCTCAAGCTGCTTTCGCCGGAGCAGCAACAACTCCGTCTTGAGGTCGCGCAGGACATACTGAAGTGGGCCAACAGGGATCCTGAGTTCCTGAAGACTGTGATCACTGGTGACAAGTCGTGGGTTACGGACATGACCCGGAAACCAAGGTCCTGGGGTCACAATGGAAGCATCCAAGATCCCCGATGCCCAGAGCAATGTGAAGGTGATACTGACTGTTTTTTCTCGATTACCGGGGTGTTGTGCATCATGAGTACGCACCACTAGGCCAGACTGTCAATAAGGAGTACTACCAAGAAGTCCTCCGCCATCTTCGTGATGCAGTTCGGCGCAAGAGACCGGAGCTGTGGGACGCCCGC